AGATATAATCATGGTTTAGCTCAGTGGTGGGATTCAAATAATTTAACAACTGGTTCTCTGCCCTAATGACCGGCTGGGTGGGCGTGGCCAAGGGGTGTGACAGGCAGCACTCAGCCTCCTGCACTCCTCTGGGAGCAAAAACAGGCTGCGGGCTGGGGGGTGCCCCCCCGTGTCCCATTTTGGGCCTAGTAGGCCGCCATGCAGCCTCCTGGGAGCAAAAACGGGCCGCAGGGGGGCCGTGCCACACACACACCTCGTGCCCCATTTTGGACCTAGTAGGCCTCCCTGCACTTACCTGGAAGCCAAAACGGCGCGTGGGGAATCCTGGAAGGAGCGGGGCAGGAAGGGGTGGGGCCAGCCAGCAATTTAACAACCGGTTTGCCCGAACCAGCTGAATCCCACCACTGGTTTGGATGTTGATCAGCCATGAGCCACACATTTCCTGCCTAAGCAGGGGGATGGACTAGAAGACCTCCAAGATCCCTTTCAACTCCATTATTCTATTCTATTCTATTCTATTCTATTCTATTCCATTCCATTCCATTCCATTCTAATTCTAATTCTAATTCTAATTCTATTCTTCTTTGAGAGTGAAGGGAGTTATGGGCCGAGGCATCAGAGAGAAAGTGAAAGTTTACACAAGGAAACCATAAATGTCTTTAAGGAAGGAATATACGATATGCAGAACTGGGCTGCTGTAGGGGGAAGATAAAGATCATGATGGCTTTTGTCTAAATAGTTACAAAACCTTATTTTAAAAAAATTAAAACTCTTATTTTTATACCCAGCTTCTGAAATACAGCGAGCTATAACACTTAAATATATGTTATGAAACTCATAAACATACACAGAGTTATATATCCACTTATAGCTCTGTTAAAGTAGCATTGGTGTTTTATTTGCTTTGGTCTTAATAAATGACTAATTGCTGAGATATCCTCTGTCCATTTTATTGCTCACTGTTGCATTCCATTGTTTAGAATAATGGGAGAGCCGAACTGAATTTCTTGAAATGCATATTTGGGATTCCTGCAGAGCTTTAGTAGAATTGCTGAGCGGAGGAGATATCTTCAGCCTAGCGCCGAAAAATACAGAATTTTCCTTCATTCGGCAATTAAGTTTTCCAAGCCAAAGCTCAGAAAAGGCTGTTTCAGTGAAGATCATGATAAGGGGGTGCTTAATTTGGGCACGAGACATTCAGCGTTCTTCATTTTGACAAGTTTCCATTTTTTTAGCGGCTTTTTCCATATCGGATAAGCCCAACAACCATGTTACTGCCTTAACAACCCCAGGGATTTCCTTAATAGCTGTGGCAAGAAGGGTTGTAAAATGGGACAAAATAATCATTTAACAACTATCTTGCTTAGCATTTAGCAATGGAAATTTTGGACTCCATTGCAGTCATAAGTCAAGGACTACCGGTATGTCGGAATATTACATTTTAGAGAGAAACCCACTATTAAATTATTACATTTTAGAGAGAAACTTGCTATTAAACTTGCAATGTAAAATTTAGCTGGTATGTTTTTAACGCCCTGAATCTTTCATCTTACCAATTGGCCTTTCTTTTTGACGTAACTTCAATCCTGGGTCAGGAGTAGAAATAAGTTAAAGATGCCACATTTGTGTGTTAATGCACTGCTAATTCATTTCTTTAAGCAACAGCAACCCTACTCCAAGAAAACCATATTTGGCCCATTTTAAACCCCCATCCATTTGTGCTCCATAAAACAAGACATTTCTTAAGAAAAAAGATGACACACACATTTTGTGCCAAAGGTTAACCATGAATAGAGAATCATTTTTATTCATTTTGCTGATTTTAACAAATGTTCTATTTGTATTTTAAATAGGCCACAATATCCTTTTAGTTTATGACTGCAGTACTGCACAATCTAAATTATTTGCATGTCTTTTCACTGGGACCTGCACTATTGCTAGATTAGGAGCGACTCTGTTAATAAGATTTCAAATTACATTCCTCTGTTGCCATTTTGATGCAAATGAGTTCGTTTCTATTTTGTTTGCTCTTTCGGTTTTAAATATTTGGTTGCTAAATTCAGCTGAATGCATCAGAAAGGACTATTTTTTCCCCCCAAGGTAGCGGGGATTGCCATGAATAAAATATTGCTACAGAGGAGAGGGAAAATCTCCATCGGGATTTAAACAGCTTTAAACAAAAGTGTAAACCTTCCATCGCTCAAAAAAAAAAAAAAAATGAGAGAGACTTTACTGAAGCCAAATGCAGAATACTTCATTATCCGACAGAAAGCAAGCCGAATATTTAGCAAGAACTTGGATCACTTTCATTGTTTTGACTGGCAGAAATACTGCTTAAAAGAAAACTACAGACAATCTGCTTGTCTGATGAAGATGATGCACATTGTGTCTTATTATAGCCCTTCAGTAACTTTGCTGAAGTTCCCCGGTCATTTGCGACTTTGTTCAGAAATATTCAGAAACTTGGATAGCTATATAATGTAGCACTTGGGTTAGAAGCACCAAGGCGCTTCTGGTTTGAAAGGCTTAGCTAGTGACATCACTGTTGCCTGGGGGACACAGATTAACAATTTAACGGATTAACAGAGTTGGAAGGGACCTTGTAAGTCATCTAGTCCAACCCGCTGCCCAAGCAGGAGACCCTGCACCATTTCTGACAGATGGCAGTCCAGTCTCTTCTTGAAAGCCTCCAGTGATAAAGCTCCCACAACTTCCAAAGGCAACTTCTGTTCCATTGTTTGATTGTTCTCACTGTCAGAAAATTCCTCCTTATTTCCAGGTTGAATCCCTCCTTGTTCAGTTCCCATCCATTATTCCTTGTCTGGCCTTCGGATGCCTTGGAAAATAGGTTGACCCCCTCCTCTCTGTGACAGCCTCTCAAGTATTCAACAGTGCTATCATGTCTCCCCTGTTCCTTCTCTTCACTAGACTAGCCATGCTGAGTATTTGCAACCATTCATCTATGACACCCATAAAATAAGATAATCTTGTCATTTTTTTTTCTCTGGCCACGCTGGTACACATTAAAAATGAAATTCTGTTGCCTGCTTTCAAAAGTGTACACATACATAACACACATATAGACATGCTATATTCATACATGTTTATATAAAGGTAAAGGTGCTAGTCATTCCTGATTCTAGGGGGTGGTGCTCATCTCCGTTTCTAAGCCGAAGAGCCAGTGCTGTCTGATGACAATTCCGTGGTCATCTGGCCAGCATGACTAAAAGCCGAAGGCACACGGAACGCTGTTACCTTCCCACCAAAGGTGGTTCCTATTTTCCTACTTGCATTTTTTACGTGCTTTCGAACTGCTAGGTTGGCAGAAGGTGGGACAAGTAACGGGAGCTCACTCCGTTACACGGAGCTAGGGATTCGAACCGCCGAATTGCCAACCTTTCTGATCGACAAGCTCAGCGTCTTAGCTACTGAGCCACTGCGTCCCCACATATCTATATATCTACCCCCCTAACATATAAATACATATAAATATTAATCACTGTCCGTCTTCAATACATAGTGGAAAGAAGAAGCTTGAGAGTTCACAAGATTTATACTGTATGGAACAAAATTGTGACTGAATCTGGATGTTCTGCTTCGGATACCATGATACCCCCTCCCGGAAAGTAACAAGGAAAGCAGGTCGTGAAGGGGATGTGTAGTTGGGGGCTCCTTTCTTGTCCCCAGCTGGAGTGAAGGACGGGAGCTCAACCCCGCCTCACGACAGCACTCGGGTCTCGAACATGGGCTTGCTAACCTCCAACCCAGCATCCTAACGACGCGAGCCACCGTGCTCCTTGAGAGCTGTATTTCGAAGCATAAACAGGTCTGTTGAATTTTGCCTCTCTCAGCTGGAAAATGGCATAACGGCAGGGAAGAAATGGCTTGGTCTTTTGGTTTTGTCCCAAAGGTGCTTTTTCAAGAGGCAACTAGGCTTTTCTTGCTTTTTCTTGGAAGACGTTTCGCTTCTGATCCAAGAAGCTTCTTCAGCTCTGACTGGATGGTGGGGAATGGAAGGATTTATATTCCTTGCAGACAGCTGGTCACTTGCATCCTTTTAGAGTGCTCCTGGTTCTTGTAGTCTGCAATTTCTTTTTCTGGAAATCCATTCCTACTCCTTTTTTTCCCCTTTGCTAAACCGGGCGGGGGCGTGGCCAGCGTGTGACGCATCTGGGCCGCGAGTTTGACTGCCCTGTTTTAGAGGGTCATTGAAGCACTTGGAGGTTTATCTATGTCCTCAGGGTCACTGGGAGTAGTGCTCCTGGTTCCTGTTGTCTGCAATATATTTTTCTTCTTCTCCGGAAATCCATTCTTACTCCCACACCATTCCAGCGGTGTTCATCCCAAATTGTATAGCTAAAAGTCTGTAGAGATTCTCAGTCATCCAAGCCGTGGGAGCTTCATCACTTTCATTTTCATTTTCATTTCATTTTATTAAATTTGTATACCGCCCTACTCCCAAAGGACTCAGAGCGGTGAACAGCCATAGAATAAAACATATAAATACAAAATTTAAAATAGAATAAAACAGATTAAATCATTTGGCTGAATTTTAAAACCCCAATAATTTAAAACCAAATTTAAAATTTCCATTTAAAAAGGGGGAAAAACTTAGGTCAGGCCAGCTTGATGAAATAAGAACGTCTTGAACGCGCGACGGAAGGTGCGCAGATCCGGGATCCGCAGAGACTTTCAAGAAGAGATTGGACTGCCATTTGTCAGAAATGGTGTAGGGTCTCCTGCTTGGGAGAGGTGGGGGGGGTTGGACTAGATGACCTACAAGATCCCTTCCAACTCGGTTAATTTGTAATCTGTAATTCATGGTTGTTCCAAAAGGCGCTTTTTCAGGATCTTGGGGGTTTTTTTTTTCTTTGAAGAAAAAGCACATTTTCTTTTTCCTGAAAAAGTACCTTTGGGAACAACCATGACCTGGATGACTGAGAATCTCGTTTTGGTTTTGGTTTTGCTGTTGCCACATTTTTGCTCTGCTTTGGCTTTAGATACCGGCAGCTGCAGCTCAGCACTGAAAACAAAGTGGCCGAACTTCTCCACCAGAGCAAACTCAAATCTTTTGAGAGCGAACGAGTGCAGCTAATCCAGGAAGAGACCTCCAGGAACCTCTCCCAGTGTCAGCTGGAGTGTGAAAAGTATCAGCGGAAACTAGAAGTATGTAAGAAAACGGTTTTTGGTGGTCTCTCATCCAAGTCACTTAATAACAAGATTCAGTAGATGGAACCAAGGCTGTGCTTTTTCTTCTGGCACATAGGGAGAAGTTCCCTACCCTGTTTCCCCCAAAATAAGACATCCCCTGATAATAAGCCCAATCGGGCTTTTGAGCGCATGCCGATAAGGCCAAGCGCTTATTTCAGGGTTCAAAAAAATATAAGACAGGGTCTTATTTTCAATTACAGGTAGTCCTCGACTTACGACCACAATTGAGCCCAGAATTTATGTTGCTAAGTGAGACATTAGTTAAGTGAGTTTTGCCCCATTTTTAACGATTTATCTTGTCACGTTTGTTAAGTGAATCTGTCTTCCCCGTGGACCTGGCTTGTCAGTAGATTGCAAAATATGATCCCATGATCTCCGGACGCTGCAAGCGTCATAACTACGAACCAGTTGTCAAGCATCTGAATGTAAATCACGTGGCCACAGGGATGCTGCAATGGTCGTTAGTGTGAAAAATGGTCATAAGTCCCTTTTTTCAGTGCTGCCGTAGCATCGAACGGTCACTAAATGAACTAAGTGCAAGATTACTTGTATTAGTAATAGATGAAAAAAAAAATCTAATGGAGATTCTTAAAATTATGCTTGTAGTCCTTAGCTTAAAGGAGTCACAGCTGCATGCATTTCACTGAATTTCTAAGTCAGGGGTGTCAAACTCAATTTCATTGGGGGCCACATCAAGGCTGTGGTTGACCTCAGGGGGAGGCTGGAGTGGGCATGGTGGATTGGTTGGGTGTGGCCAACTGGGTGGGCATGGCCAGCTTGAGGCCACTCCCCAAACTGCTGGCCCGATGTTTCCTGTTTGCACTGGATAGTGTTCTGCCCCAGCTACGGACCCCAAAGAACGCAGCCCACACAAAGTCCGTTCAAACCTTAGTTTACTAAATAAACCAGTTTTTTACAACAACGGCTGTTAATTAACTGCATTAACAGCTGCCAAGAATTCAAACAATAATAACTGGAAACTTACAATGGTTGGCAGAATGCCCAGAAGCAATTTGCAGGAAGCTGATAAGATAAGCAAGACAAGACAAGACACGAAGGTATGTGAACGAAGTTGTTCCCTGCAAATTGCTTCAGTCGGCGTTCCTCCTTAAATAGGCTAAGGGAGTGGCCAATTAGCCCCAAGCCTTACTCTCGAGGAGACCTCCTCCTAAGGAGTCACTCCTGCAGCTCTGTGCACCCGTGCATCGAGAAGAGGCTCCTCCTCTTCGTCCTCTTCACTTAAGGGAGCTTCTGGAGGTTCTGAAGGCCCTGGCTGAATCCCCGCCTCTGGCACCACATCTTCTCCAGCCTCCTCATTGTCCGACTCGAGCACCAGCTGCACAGGCTGCTGGCGCAGCACCACACCAGCCTCCTCGCTGTCTGAATCAGCTACTAGCTGCACAGGCTGCATACAGGCCACAACAGGTAGACCGGTCCAAAGCGACGTGGGCCGGCCCCTTACATTTTCCAGGATGGCCTTGCAGGCCAGATCCGACCACATTGCGGGCCTCATCCAGCCCGCGGGCCTTCAGTTTGACACCCCTGTTCTAAGTGAACATACAGGGACACACCCTTTACACGAGACAAAGTGAAGCAGAATACTTTCTGAATTTTTTTACAAAGTAAATCTGACCAGTGCAAAAGTTTGAACCCTCCTTGCGTCAGAACTCAGAAACAATCATATGGCGGCAGATGGCAGCTCTTAAGAGCCGCCATCCCCCATAGATTCAGGTAGTCCTTGAGTTACAGCAGTTCATTTAGTGACCGTTCGAAGCTACAACAAGCACTGGAAAAAAGTGACATATAAGTAAGCTTTTCACACAAACACAGCATTCCCCGTGGTCACGTGAACAAAAATTCGGAACAAAAATTTGGATGCTGTTTATGGACGGTTGCAGTGTCCCAAGGCTGTGATGATCACATTCTGCGACCATCCGACAAGCGAAGTCAACGGGGGAAAGCCAGGTACACTTAATGGCCGCCTTACTAGCTTTACCGCTGCAGTGATTCGCTTAACAACAGTGGTAAGAAAGCTCGTAAAATTAGGAGGGGGGGATTCACGTAGCAGTTTACTAAGAGAAATTTTGGGCTCAATTATCTATGGAGATTCTCAGTCATCCAGGACATGGTTGTCCCAAAGGTGCTTTTTTTCAAGAGGCAACTGGACTTTCTGGTTTTTCTTTGAAGACGTTTCGCTTCTCATCCAAGAAGCTTCTTCAGCTCTGAGTGGATGGTCGGGGAAGAGCATCCAAGAGCTGAAGAAGCTTCTTGGATGAGAAGTGAAACGTCTTCAAAGAAAAACCAGAAACCCCAGTTGCCTCTTGAAAAAAGCACCTTTGGGACATTTGGCCTCAATTGTGGTCATAAGTCAAGGACTACCCGTACTTCATTTGAACACCAAACTGTATATTTCATCCCTTATTAAATTTCACTTTTGCCTGGCATGGTTAAACAGGCCTCCATCTCGGAAAGCTTGTTTACATCTCTCCATTTCTCCACTCGGGTGCTAATTCAATGTACAAAGCCTTTAATCTTTCCGGATCAAATCTTTTGCCTCTTGGCCTACCTAGATCTTTGTCAGATACAGTCGTTTGCATGGCTCATTTGGGCCCAGCACCCATACCGAGGACAATCGTTTTCCTATTTCTTGTAAATTTTACTTTTGCAGCCCCTTAGAAAATAATTGCGGAGAGGAGGAAGTGGTGGAATAAAAAGTGAGACTCTTTGTACAACTTTATTCTGTTTTCCAGAGAGCTGGCATTTATACCGAATCATGCTTTTTAACACAGCCCGAGACACTTAATCCAACTTTAAAGTTAAAAAGGACTTGACCTAAGCTTGCAAATATTTGAATTGAGCGTGCATTTCTTTATTTCCTCAATGATTTATTGCTCTCTAAACTAACTTCCTTTTTTTAAAAAACAAAAAATAAAAATTCTTAGGTATTAACGAAAGAATTCTACAGTCTTCAAGGACTGAGTGAGAAAAAAATCTCGGAACTTCAGGCACAGAATTCTGAGTACCAAGCAAGGCTTGACACGTACGAAAAACTCGAAAAAGAACTCGATGAGATAATAATGCAAACGGCCGAACGTAAGTCCTTCCGAATTATCCTTTATGATTCTGTCTTGGAATATATTTACAATCTAATGGCCGTTAATGAGATTGGTATCATTATAAATCCAGGAATGTTGAATACCCATTCAACATGCAGCTGTATACAAATGAATTAGCATAAATATGTATTTTATTGCATCTTAATTAGCAACTTGAATATCTATCGCCTTTTGAATATCTCCTAAAATTATTATGTTTTCTTTCTCTCTCTCCCTACCTCTCCCTTCCCCCTCCCTCCCTCTCTCTCTCTTTGTCTCTATTTCTCTCTCTCTACCTCCCTCCCTCTCTCACTACAAGGGCAAAATGGTGATGGGTTGCTCTTTTCTAACACATCTCTCTCTTTCTTTCTCTCTCTCTCTCTCTCTCTCTTAAAAAAAAAAATCCTGATTCCCCAGGCATGTCAGCTCTTGCTCTCTTTTTCAATTTGTTATCTCTCTCCGTGACATCTTTTGGAAAGTTTACTGTGAAAGTTGTTGCAGTAAAAAAAAAAAAAAGAAGAAGAAGTGCTGAATTCTACAAGTGTCTCTGATGGCAGTAAATTTTAACTAAAGGATTTTCTCTATCAGCAACAGAATTGTCTGTTGCTGTGAGCAGTACCAGCGCTTCTTAAACCGGGATACGTGTGTGCATATTTGCGTGTGTTATGCATGGAATTCCTCTCCTGTGCATACAGCCCTGAATAAATAGGATAGAAAGATATATCTTGTAGGGGAGTCATTGCTTTGGGTCTAGGCACCAACTTCGTTTCTTGCCTGTTGTCTGGTTCATCGACTTATCAGAACATGGAGATTCCATTCGTTTATTTTAAAGTCTCCATTTGTTCTAAAATAGCAGCAAGAAGTCGAGATGGATGGGTGGATGGATGGATGGGTGGGTGGATGGATGGATGGGCGGACAGATGAATGTTTTTGAATGAATTCCATGAACTCAAATCAGGTTATAATAGATACCATTAAGGTAAAGGTAAAAGTTCCCCCTGCACATATGGGCTAGTCGTTCCCAACTCTAGGAGGTGCTGCTTATCTCCATTTCAAAGCCAAAGAGCCAGCGCTGTCCAAAGACGTCTCTGTGGTCATGTGGCCAGCATGACTTAACGCCAAAGGGGCATGGAACACTGCTACCTTCCCACCAAAGGTGGTCCCTATTTTTCTACTTGCATTTTTTACGTGCTTTCGAACTGCTAGGTTGGCAGAAGCTGGGTTAAGTAACAGGAGCTCACCCCATATCATGGCACTAGGGATTCGAACCGCTGAACTGCCGACCTTTCGATCGACAAGCTCAGCGTCTTAGCCACTGAGCCACTGTGTCCTTGAATGGATGCCATTAAGATTAGACAAAAAACATTTCATTCACTTAGTCCTTGGTGCTCTCCAAATTTGGTTGTTTGTCTGCAGAATATTTTGTTACCAACCTAAAATTAAATTATCCTTCTTAGTTATTTCAAAGTTTAGATATAAAGTGATACGGTTTCTTTCTTTTTGCGTATGGTCATTGATATGAATGTTGGTCATCTTTCATGAGTAAGATTTGGCAGAGGAGATCCTGGGAAAAGGGGAGAGTGTTATGGGTACGTCAGAAAGACACCCCAAAGAATATGGAGATGAGAGATGTCTACCTGGGTCCTTCAGAATGATGGTGTTGGCAAGCCCAAATGTGGTTTTATTTGTCCAATGACAAATCCAAGAGCTTGTAGTGTATATTCCTTGCAGACAGCTGGTCATTTGCATCCTTTTAAAGGGTCATTGAGGCCACTTGGAGGTTTATCTGTGTCCTCAAGGTCACCTGAGTAGTGCTCCTGGTTCTTGTAGACTGCAGTATTTTTTTTTCTCCTCTGGAAATCCATTCCTACTTCCACACCATTCAAAGGGTGTTAATTCCAAATTGTATAGCTAAAAGTCTGTAGAGATTCTCAGTCATCCAGGTCAAGGTTGTTCCAAAGATGCTTTTTCAGGAGGCAACTGGACTTTCTTGTTTTTCTTTGAAGCCGTTTCGCTTCTCATCCAAGAAGCTTCTTCAGCTCTGACTGGATGGTGGGGAATGGAAGGATTTATACTCCTTGCAGACAGCTGGTCATTTGCATCCTTTTGGAGGGACGTTGAGGCCACTTGGAAATTTATCTGTGTCCTCAGAGTCACCTGAGTGGTGCTCCTGGTTCTTGTAGTCTGCAATTTATTTCTCTGGAAATCCGTTCCTACTCTGACACTATTCGAAGGATGTTCATCCCAAATTGCATAGCTAAAAGCTTAAAATCGCATAGCTAAAAAAAAACATGACCTGTATGACTGAGAATCGCTACAGACTTTACTAAGCTCCTCAGATTTCTCATTCGGGCCTGCAGAACTGGGGAAACAAGTGATTCTCTCACTCACCTGTCCTGCTTTTGGTTGTGCCCTGAAAGAGGTGACTGCAAACAATGTCTTACCTGGTTCGGTTTGATTGATACCAAAGGTCTGTTTCGGATTAGCTTTTAGCAGCCGCCTGGGGTATCCTTCCTGATCCTCCGTAGGGATTATTCACTTACCAATAAATAACATCACGGAAAGGGTATTCACGGAATGTAAAAATTCAGATCGCATACTTGCCATTCTTTTTATTTTTCTCTTTTCTGCAGGCAGCTAATGGGAAAGCTCATCTGCTCCCTGGCTGGTAAACAAAGAGATAACCCTAACACCGATACACGTGTCAATTTTCTTGCTTTTGAGAGGCTCTCTGACATTCTCAAGCATTTAATTTTGGGGCACGGAACTGGCTTTTTGGAAAACTTTTTTCGAAATTGCTGGACAGGTGGAGCTCGGCTTACGGCCACAATCGAACCCCAAATTTCCATTAATCAGAGAGTTTCCTTTGTTAAGTGAGTTTTACCCCATTTTACGACCTTTCTTGCCACTAAGCCAATCGCTGCGGTTGATAAGTTAGCAACCCGGTGATTAAGCGAATCTGGCTTCCTCAATGACTGTGCTGGTCGTAAAAGGGGTAAAAGAAGATCATCAAAGGGGAATCAGGTGACCTTGGGACCCAACAACGGTCATTAAGTATGAACTGGTTGCCAAGCATCTGAATTTTGATTGCGTAACCCTTGAAGATGCTGCACAAGCCATAACTGTGAAAAATGGTTGTAGGTCACATTTTTCAGTGCTAAATACTGAACAAACTGTTGTAAGTTGGGGACTACCTGTATTTCCTTTGGGGTCATTCCCAAAGGTGCTTTTTCAAGACGCAGCTGGACTTTCTGGTTTTTCTTTGAAGACGTTTCGCTCCTCATCCAAGAAGCTTCTTCAGCTCTGATTTGGATAGAGGGGAATGAAATGGAAGCTGAAGAAGCTTCTTGGATGAGAAGCGAAACGTCTTCAAAGAAAAACCAGAAAGTCCAGTTGCCTCTTGAAAAAGGCACCTTTGGGACAACCATGACCTGGATGACTGAGAATCTCCATAGACTTTGGGGTCACTGATAAAAGGGATAATAACGATAAAATGAATCAAGGCAAGTAAGAAACATAAAACTTTGGCTGCACAAGTTTTAATCCACGTCAGAAGGGCAAGTTTAAGGCTTCAGGTTATGCATTCAAGATCCTAAACACCCTGAGATCTTGGCATTAACTTGAGTGCCTGTCACGCTACCTTGCCCTGATTAGGCCTGACCTATGATAGTTGTATTGAGACTGTGTAAAGGATTTGAGGGAAGCTTTGGTAATCTGGAGGTGTGTCCCAGCTCTTCTGAGCCACAAAAGGCCAACCCCAAAAGTGTGTGGCAAGTGTGAAACTAACCAAGGAGATTAGCAAATTAGAACTAAGGAGAAAATTCCTGACAATGAGAACAATTGCAGGTAGTCCTCGAGTTACGAATGGAATGGAACCTGCCCATTCCATTCGTAACCCGAGGATTCGTAGGAGTGAATCTCGTATCTTGAAAGGGATCACTCCCTCCTTTCACCCACCCATTTGCTAATCAAATGCGAGGCTCATTAAGTGCACATGAGGTATTTGGGGGGGAAGAGGTCATGGGGGGGGGCTACTGATGGAACAGGTCACCTGCCTAAGACCACCCGAGGCCTCCCCGACCCACTGAAATACCTCATGCTCCCCACAATTGCTTCCCCTCCCCAATCTTCAGCGCTGGGTTAGTTATGTTGTGAAGATCTAGCAAGCAGTCTCCTCTCCAGCATCATGCGTTCGGGCCTCCACAAGCCTTCCCCCGGCCTGTTGCAGGCCAAAATAGATCCGGGGCCGGATCCGCTCCTCAGAAGTTCCATTTCAGCCAGCAAGGTGCCAGGCGAGGCCTCTGGACAGCCGAACGGGGGCCCAAGACAGGGACAGTAACAGCAACAGAGTTGGAAGGCGCCTTGTAGGGGACTTGGAGGTCATCTAGTCCAACCCCCTGCTCTTGGAGCTTCTGAGGGGGCGGATCCGCCCCTCAAAAGTGCCATTTCAGCCAGCAAGGTGCCAGGTGAGGCTTCTGGACGGCCAAACAGGGCTTCTGAGGGCGGATCTGCCCCTCAGAAGCTCCATTTCGGCCGGTAACGTGTAGGACAAATGTTGTAGAGCCTCTCCGGTTGTTCGTAAGGGCAAACAACTGCCATGGCGCTGCAAGATTCGTAGTTTCGGGCCTCGTTCAGAAACGCTAGGGGTCGCTGATTGCGTAACTTCGAATATTCGCATAATGCTTGTAACCCTGGGGTTACCTGTATCCAGTGGATAATTGTGGGTGCCCCAACACTGGAAGCTTTTAAGAAGAGACCGGACAGCCATCTATCAGAATTAGTATAGGTCTCCTGCGAGATCAGGGGGTTGGACTAGAAGATGACCTCCAAGGCTCCTTCCAACTCTGTTGCTGTTACTGTCCCTATCTTGGGCCTTCCGACAGACAGCACCAGTTCTTGGGGGACTTCAAGTAGAGATCCCTGGAATTGAGCTTGGGACCTCTTGTTGGCAAAGCCGGTCTTGAGCCCGGGATTGACCCTTTCCAGACAGAAGCGTTGCTTGGGTTTCAAACCAGCAATGAAGTTTTATTTCTGTCCCAGCAAACCCTCTGAAGATGTAGGTATCTTGATGACTAGAGCGGGGGCTCCCCAGCCCGCCAGTCCTGTTGAGAACCGGGCCATGCAGACGGTGGGCTAGCGCGCGTGAGAAGCTTCATTTGTGTAAACTAGGGGTCCTCAAACTTTTTAAACGGGGCCAATTCACGGTCGCTCAGACTGTTGGGGAGGGCGGATCTGCTGGGGGGGGGCGTAGCTAGGTGGTCATGTGATTGGGTGGGTGTGGCTAAGTGGTCATGTGACTGGGTGGACGTGGCCAATTTAGCAGTCCATTAAACAATACACACAAATTAAACTTTAATGTGTTATGCTCCTGGGGGTGGAAAGCAGGTTACAGAAGGGATGTGGCTGCCTTGGGGGTGGTGAGGGACTTGTGTGTGTGTCCCTCCCTCCCTCCCTCTCTGGAGGCTGGGGAAGGCAAAAATGGGCCCTTTTTTTGGCCTCTTGGAGCCTCCGGGCATCCTGTTTTGGCCTCCTCAGCCTCCAGAAGGCAGGTGGGGGCTGGCGGGTAGGTGGGGCGATGTGGGCAGAGCAGCCTCGTGATCCTACGTGGGCTGGATTAATGGCTTCGGCTGGCCGTATCCGGCCCTCTGGCCGTACTTTGAGGACCCCTGGTGTAAGTGGTGGGCGCACGCATGAAGTCATCCCCTCTTTTCACTGCGGCCACTGCAGCTTCGCAGAGCCGGAAAAGTTGGATGGACTGGAGCAAAGTAGATGGACCTAGAATGGCTAAACTAAGCTTCTGACAAAGGTATGACTTCACTGTCTGGCTTCGGGGAAAAATCACTTCATCAGCCTCCACCCTCGTTTATAAAATGGAGCAACTAATTAATCTCCTTGGGCAATTGTTTGAATGCGGTCCAGTTCCAAGAGATTCCTTAATTGCTGCAACATTTCTATTTCCTTCCGACGCTCTCCCGCCGAGACAGCCATTTCTTCTCGTATTCTTAGAGCCCACGTTGGAGTCCTGGGTCTGAGCGTGTGAGGAAAACCAACCTTTGAGTTTCAAAATATTCATAAATAATGTAAATGGGTTCAATATTCATGCCGTTGGCTTTTTTTTTTTTTTTTTAAACTTATCAGGAAGCTTATCAGAATCAGCTGTGTCTTTCTGCTCTTCTTCTACCCGGGTCCCATCTTTCGATGCACGCTTTCAAATCAAAGGGACGGCTGCCAAAAAGATATTTTGTCCTGTACATTTTGTACTTGTGATGATTATCCTTTTTACTGTGTATAATTATGCTTTTGCACAGGCTGCCAGGAAGAATAAGAACACGCACTCCCAGGGCAAAATGGTGCTGGGTTGCTCTTTTCTAACACCTCCCTCCCTCCCCTCTCTCTCTCTCTCTCACACAGACACACACAAACACTCATACACACAACTTTTCAAAGGGAAGCAACTTACATCTCTTTCTTTGTTTTTCTTTCTCTCACTCTTTTTTTCTCTCACTGTTTTTCTCTCTCTTTCTCTTTCTATATTCCTTTCTCTCTTTCTTTCTCTTTCTTTCTCTTTCTCTTTCTCTCCTCTCTCACACACACATGCACACAGAGACACACTCACACTCACACAACTTTTCAAAGGGAAGCAACTTGCATTTCTTTCTTTGTTTTTCTCTCTCTCTTTTTCTCTTTCTCTCTCTTTCTCTTTCTATATTCCTTTCTCTCTTTCTCTTTCTTTCTCTTTCTCTTTCTCTCCTCTCTCTCTCACACACACGCACACAGAGACACACTCACACTCATGCAACTTTTCAAAGGGAAGCAAGTCTCTCCAGTTGTGGGAGTGGGAGGAAGCCCTTATTTTGTCTGGAAAGCAAAGCAGCTTTGGCCAAAAGAGGCCAGAAGCAATGTAAGGGCAGTGATAGCCCTGCATGACAAAAATAGATGAAGAAGCCTATGATGTTCAACCCTCATACGGTTGTTACAACCTGTGGACTTCAACTCCCAGAATTCCTGAGCCAGCTGCTGTCTCAGGAATTCTGGGAGTTGAAGTCCACAGGTTGTAAAAGAGCCACATTTGCCCACCCCTGGATTAGAAGACCTCCAAGGTCCTTTCCAACTCTGTTATTCTGTTCTTGTTCTTACATAGCCACTCAGAGTTACCCTGTGGTAAGATGGGCCATCAATAAATTTAATTTAATAAGTAAATATATTGGGGAAAGCCAGATTTCTCTCACGCTCACTGCCTTTGAAGAACACACTTCTGCTAGTTGCCGACTCCTCTCTTCAGGAAGTTATTTCAAAGAAAGAGGCTGCTGCCAAAGAAGAAGTAAATGACACCTGCATGGCACTTAAACCAAGAAGTAGATCCTTTCCCAGCCTGCTCTAGCCCTCTGGGTCACATAATACATTTGTGGTTAGGAGTGTGTGTGTATATGTCTGTCTCCATGGGTGCGTGTGTGGGTTCCTAAGTCAATAAGGGAAGAGGAAGAGGCACAACATTTTTCTTTTCTTTTCACTGGCATGGAAGTCCTTGTGTGACTGTTCAGTGTGTCCGTTGTTTGCACCAAAGCAAAGTCGGAATTGCAGTTTGAAGGATTCGTAAGGGAGATGAACCAGGCCAAGGGAAGTCAGTACAAAAGCAAATGGGCAAGGAGGAACTTAGATTTTATGCCTTTTCTCGCTTATTCCAAGCCATCCTGAAATCCATGAAGGATGGATGATGGATGGCTTATAAAAATGCCTCAAGGAAATAATTAAGAGATAAAGAGAGAACCATCAGTCATACTGCTGTGACTTCCCATTGATTGTGAATTAATAGGCCGCCAATGGTAAAACTTGATTCAACATTGTATTTGTTCTTCCTCCTTTTGCTAACTTCCTTTTACTGTGTTGACCTCCTGATCCTCTTCAACTGCACTTTTTAGCCACTGTTTATAGAGCCTCGTGTAAAAAATAAAATAAAATCAAGCAAATTGATCATCAGTTCCACTAATCTTAAATGAAGTCCCTTTGATCTACACAGCCCTGTCACGTTATCCAGAGATGCTGGGGTTCCTCTTCTTAAAAGTGGTTTTCTGATGGCCTGTTTTGTATTTTTCTAGTTGAGAATGAGGATGAGGCAGAAAGAGTTCTGTTTTCCTATGGATACGGTGCCAATGTCCCTACAACAGCCAAAAGACGGTTGAAGCAAAGGTAAAGGTGATGTCAGCTTCCATGCCAGTCCCCCCCCCCCCAAAAAAAAACCCCAGGGAATTTGAGGAGCTTTAACAAGGGAGAGAAAGTATGCTCATTTCTTTGAAATCAAGGTGCATCCTGACCATCCAAAGTCAAGTTATCTTGACACTTAAAACAGATGAACTCAATATCTGCGTCCTGCGAATTAAAATTTCAACAAGGCAAGAAACCAAAGTTACAGATTTACATTTTGTCTTTCAAAGTCATCCTGGCTTAGCGAGTTGTGGCTTTGGCATAAGGAGGTTGGAAAAAAACAAAAGGACAGAGTAGGTACATAAGAGAAATTAAGAGAGAGAGAATATCACCCAGTGCCATCCATATGAGACCATTTTCAGCAAAAGCCAGAAATATTTATCGCTCCTTTTATTCTTCGAGATTTTTAGGCTGTCAGAAATACTGAAACATACAGTAGTGGCCAAAATTGTGGAAACCTTTTGGGAAAAGTGTATTTTTGAGGTTTGATGGCTAATAACACCATTTTTTTTTTTAGAGTTTCAAGATAATCACATTCCACTGCTGGAATGGCGTGGGAATAGCCCAGACCTTAACCCAATTGAAAATTGATGGAGCCGACTAAAGAAGTCAGAAGTGACCCAGCAATAAAACCCAGTTAATAGAAGCCATCATTCAATCTTGGTTTCCCATTAGAACAGCTGCAGAACTAAAAGACTTGGTTCACTCCATGGGAAGACCTTGTAAGGCCGTCATTCATGCTAAAGGTTACCCAACTAAGTATTAACTGACAGGGGTGATCATTTTTGTATACCTCGTTTTTTCTTTCTTTTTCACTTTTCTTCTTTATACTGTAACTGCTATTCTAATAGCAAATCCTTCATACAAGTTATTGCATTACGTTCTTGATTAAATTATCTTTCCATTGATATATAATTTTATGGTACTACTCCAAAAAATATGGTGTTATTAACTGGTTTTAGAAAATAACACTTTTCCCAAACTTTTCCACAATTTTGGCCACTACTATAAATATTGTATTTATGGTGTATTTGGTGGAAAGTATGTCCGATTTGAGTTCCTATACTAGCAACATTCTTCCCCCCACCCCACCCCCTTTGTGGTCTTGTCTCCAGCAATGGAAAACTAACCCAGTGTGGAAAAAAATCTACATTTCCAGATGGTAGTTCAGCAGTAGCGCAGGAAACATGTTGTCCATCCACACCTGAAGTTGTGTACCATATTCTGCCACACCTACCTCAATAATTCACCAGTCCCAAAGCCATCTCCCTGCTCAATCAAAATTAAAGATGTGATTGTTAGATTGAGAGCCAAAGGAAGGCTGCAGACAATTTAACACAGAAGTTAAATATTATTCTGTTAATTTCAACCCGTTTCTCTTACCTCATTTGGGGCTTGTTTGTTTTTTCCTTCTGTCTTCTGAGGCATTAGCTGTCTTATCTAGACTTGGTGTCTTCTTAAATCTCATAATTCTTCTTTCCACCTCTTCATCCAAGATATTGATTTTAATATATATATATATATATGGAAGAGCGAGTAGGCCGTAAGTGAGTTTGTGGCCACCTTGATGTCCCTCTCTGGTTTCATGAGGAGCCCTGGATGAGCACAGTTTTTAAGCCAGTTGTGTGTGTGCGCGCTTGCATGCCTCCAACCCACACTTAATTGGCTTGCTAATAAGCATCTCATAGGGCACTTTGTCAAATGCTTTGCTGAAGACATAATGTAGTTTGTCTGCAGCATTAACGATCTATTAAGGAAGGTGGCTGATCAACGGAGGAGATAAGCTTAGTCTGACTAATACTTAGCCATGCTGACTTCTGCTAATTGCTTAGGAAGATCTGGGCACTGGATTGTCTAGTCTACGAAATTCTACAACAATTCGTTTGTATAAAGTTGTTGGCAGTGAAAAGTAACCCTGCTGCCTTTTGGGAAGAATCCTGGGAACCTAAAGCTGAATTGGTTAAATACACGTGCACAAAACTCTGCTGATCTCTTACAATTTGGAGCAGGATCGGTGAGATATTTAACGCATTTCCTCGCCTCCTGGCTTTGCTACAACTTGCAAAAGTCTGTGCAAAATGCGGCAGTGATTTCAGAGGCCCTGAGGAAGCGCCTGCTTCCCCAATATGAAGCGTCCTTCTTCAAAAGTTCCTACTCCACAGAAGGAGTTTCAGGCGAACTGTATTTTTGAATCAGATATACCGTATTTTTCGGACTATAAGATGCACCGGAGTATAAGACGCACAAAGCTTTCGAATAGGTAAACAAGAAAAAAAAGGGGGGGGGTTGCCCTCCCCGGGCCCCAGAAGCACTCTGCAGGCCTCCGAAACCCTCTGTGTGTCCCGTTTTTCGCAAAAATGGTGCACGTGCAGGGTTTGGGAGGCCTGCAGAGTGCCCCTGGGGGCTGGGGAGGGCAAAAATGGGCCCGTTATTGGCCTCCCAAACCCCCCTATATGTCACATTTTTGTCCTCCCCAGCCTCCAGGAGCACTCTGCAGGCCTCCCAAACCCACCGCAGGCCCCGTTTTTGTGAAAAATGGGCCTGTTTCTGGCAAAAACGGGATGCGCAGGGTGGGGTTTCAGGAGGCCAAAAAATGGCTGTATTTGGTATATAAGACTCACCAACCTTTCCACCTTCTTCTGGGGGTGGGGGTGGGGGTAGAAGGTAGGAAGTGTGTCTTATACTCCGAAAAGTATGGTAGGTCCTTTGGTACGATGGTTCCTAAACTCTCTTTCTCTTTCCGAGGTCTCTTTGCATTGGTGAGAATTCAGAGCCATCCGTGGTAATTTTCCATGCTTCCCACAGCTACCCTGGCTAGTGGGAGTCTTCCATTGCAGCATAAAGCCAGGTGAAGCCATCCTGTAACACTTCACAAACTATTTTTCATCACAAATTCTCAGTTCCCATTCCCAATTCCTCATCTGGAATTCTTGACGTTTCAACTATACGGGTTAAACGTCAGTTTGCAGGGTTTTGTTTTTGTTTTTGTTTTTTCAAATGTTACTGCCATGACTGGTTAATGTAAGAAAATATTTATTGCAAAAATGGGTACCTTAGTTTAAAACCTTCATGAAAACTAATAATTCACCAGGTGCATTATAAATAATAGGGCACGATAGATGGGGCTTAACGCTAACGAATGGTTGTCTGTCTCGCACTCACATCCTCTCCTCGTCCTCGGTCTTTCACAAATTATCTCAGCCTTTCATCATAAACAGTCCAATCTGTCTCACTTTTTCACTTGCAACATGTCTGCATAAAAAGACATATGCATCAACCAAAGATTGAAAACAAACAGACGGTCTTCTAAGTACACACTACCACTCATCAACCTGGTTTATTTGTGGGTCTCCAAACAGCCCAGTTGATTCTTAAAAAAAAAAAAAAATACCTTATCACCATCCAGTTTATACTTTCTGGCATACATTTTTTTTTTAATTCACCATTCAACCTAAACATTCATTTCCCTGCATGTATTTATCGGCTATGCCACAGAAGATCAATCCACCCTCATTCAGATGTGCTTTGTGTTCCACCTTTCTGTTATTTTACGGACGTACAGTACGATGGACCTGTCTTTCTTCCATTTCATTGTTTAAATCGAATATTTTACCACTGACTCCTGTAGTCCAAGTTATCATCTTGCATACGCCATTAAGGTAACCAGATAGGCCCAGAGACAGAATAACGGAAAGGGACCTTGGAGGTCTTCTGGTCCAACCCCTTGCTCAAGAAGGAGACCCTATACCATTCCTGACAAGTGGCTGTCCAGTCTCTTCTTAAAAGCCTCCAGTGATGGAGCACCTACAACTTCTGAAGGCAAGCTCTTCCACTGGTTAATTGTTCTCACTGTTAGGCAATTTCTCCTTAGTTCTAGGTTGCTTCTCTCCTTGATTAGTTTCCACCCATTGCTTCTTGTTTTGCCTTCAGGTGCTTTGGAAAATAGGTTGACTCCCTCTTCTTTGTGGCAGGCCCTCAAATATTGGAACACTGCTCTCATGTCACCCTAGTCCTTCTTTTCATTAAACTAGACGTGCCTGCTAATTCCTGCAAATATACTTCTTATGTTTTACCCTCCAGCCCCTTATTCATCTTTGTTGCTCTTTTCTGCGCTTTTTCCAGTCTCAACATCTTGTTATAATATGGTGACTAAAATTGGATGCAGTATTCTAAGTGTGGTCTTACTAAAGCTGTATAAAGCGGTATTAACACTTCACACAATCTTGATTCTATCCTTCTGTTAATGCAGCCTAGAATTTCATTGGCTTTTTTGGTGGCTGTCGCACAATTCTGTCTCATATTTAAGTGATTGTTCACTAAGACTCCAAGATCCCTCTCACAGTTATTGAGATTGAGCCAACTTTCACCTAATCTGTACCTGTACGTTTAGTTTTTCTTGCCTAAGTGTAAAACTTTACTTTTCTCATTCATTTTGTTAGATAGAGCCCAGTGTTCAAATCTTTCGAGATCCATCTGGATCTTGAGCCTATCTTCTGGCTATCCCTGCCTGTTCAGTGTCTTAATTTTAGACTTTCCCTGCCTATTATAGCTTGGGTCAACCCATGCTTCTATACAACACTATTTAATAGGACTGAAGACTTTAGTCTCCTTCCCATCAATGGTATATGCCACTTTCCCTGTGAGTGTTCAGGACCACATCCAGGACTTGGTCACAATGCCAGAAGCACAGTTACAACCGAGCTTTCTTTTAGGGTGTTCACACTATTCTTCATAAAAAAAAAAGATCTCTGCTCTGGAGACTAACTAGCAAGCTAACAAAATATTTCTCATCAACTCAGAGGGACATGGAGGCATTATCTCACAGTCCAGATTCCCCCGAGTTTTCCATTTGAAAACGTACCCTCTCCTGTCCTGCGGTGAATTCGATAACTGGTTTGTAATTGTTGCTTTTAGCTGTAAGACATGCTCTCCTCCCAATAGCTTTTTCTCCCACCTCCCACCCATCAAGACTGAACCTCCCTTGCATTATCTTATCAAGTAGGATTCCAGTTAGACCTAATTTAGGATTAACTTTGAAAAAAAAAAGAAAGAAAGAAAGAAAGAAAGACATCTTTGCTTTTAATTCCCCAAGTATAAGCAATCCTGTCATCCTAATTAATTAAGTTTGATGGGAAATAAATCTGACATATGGCAAGCTGATTTATTTGGCTGGATTTGTCTGACTTTTCTCTCTCTCTCTCTTTCTCTGTCTCTTTACTAGATTCGTGCTAGTGCTGAATAATAAAACCCTATCTGTCCCTGTCTAACAAATCATATTTTTCAAACTGTTGAAAGCTCTGCTTGTCCAGGGAAACTAAAACCAGTAACAAACTTCCCCGCTTGTTTGTCTACGGTTATTTGTCTATTTTTTTTCCTTTCATGTTTGACACAGAACATTTCATTTTTAGGATGTGCTGCAGTGCAAACCTGTGGCTTACATGTATTGGGCCTTTCTTGCTCCAAGGATAAGTAAACAGATCCCAAAGTGGCATAAATGCTCCCTTTCCTGTACATACTCCAGTCTTGTACCCATTCCAGGCGACGTATTGGAAACAGAAAACCATTTTACCCCTGCTTGACTGAAGCGGAGCATATAATGAGTTCATTTCATGAAATTCGGTCTGAAAACAGCAGGGATTTTTTTGGCTCTGCGTTTTGGTTGTTTTGTGTGTAACTTTCAGCTAAAGAATTTTTTTTTTTAAAGGGGAAAAAACCCCGCCCTCTTCTTATCCGCTTGCACTTAAAATGGATTTTACAGCGTCTGAATCAGCGCAGGAAAAATGTTGGAAAACCTGCACTGTTTTTTCTCAGTACCCCTTTGGGTTATCTTTTGTGGAGGGCTTTGGTGAGCTTCACATTGAATAAATTCAAACTTGGACACCCCGGCTATCCCATCTAAGACAGAGCTGTGATTATACAATCCTGTTAGAAAGACAGCTTCATAAGTCAATTACTTTTAAAAACAGCATTTTATTGGATAATAAATTATTTTGGGTGGTTACAGGTTTTCCTTTTTTTATTGGCGTTAATGAAGACATTTGTGAAAATGAAAACGGAGCTTGACTTCTAGACCTGGGTTTTCCCCAACCGTGGCAATTTTCAGACAAGTGGACTTTGATTTCCAGAATTCCCCAGGTGGGGAACTTTGGGGGTTGAAGTTCATGAGTCTTAAAGTCGGCAAGATTGGGAATCCTGTTTTACAAGGACCAGCCATTTTATAAAATAAAAATGTAAAACGGGTCCCAGATTTGTCAAGGGTCTTTTTTTCTGAATTTGTGGGGGAGTCAAGCCCCCATCCAGGCTCTCCTAGGCTGAGCCCCCCCCCCCCACTTCTCCTTTCCATCTTCTTCCCAAAGGGATTTTCCCAGCTCAGGCTGGGTTCCAGTTTGCAGGAAGGAGAAGATGCTTTTACTAGGAGATCTTTTCCTCTGGAGCTTGCAAAGAGTTTTCCTCTGAGAAGGGAAAGGAAGGGAAGGGAAGGGAAGGGAAGGGAAGGGAAGGGAAGAGAAAGGAGGGGAGGGGAGGGAAGGGAAGGGAAGGCCATCTCGCATCAAAATCCACCTGTGTCCTGAAGTCCAGGCTCCAAGCCTGATAAAATCAAAAAGATTGTACTTTCTTACCACAATTACCTGGTTTTGGATACTCCCTTATCATTTCCTTCCTTAAAGCCCTCACCTCCCTGAGTGAAGGTTGCATCATTGAAGGTTTTGCTTTAAGGTGGGGTTTTTTTTGTTTTTGTTTTACAAAAAAAAATTAAATTGCTTCATAGATTTCCTCCAGTGATGTTACAACGTATTGAATTTAGATAAGGGAAAGAAAGATGTTTTTTTCTTTCTGTAATGCCTACTTAAACGTAATTTTAAGGTGCTTGAATGCATCCCGATAGCTATCTCAAATGCAGCTTCTGGAGCCAGTTGCTACTAGAAACCTGGCAGTTTAATTACAGTGTGAGAATAATGGGAATATTCGTCTAATCCAGTTAAAACGCCATCATTTGGCTTTGGGCTTCAAACTGTAGTGTTAGAAAATGATATAGCAATAGCACTTAGAATTACATACCGCTTCACAGTGCTTTGCAGCTCTCTCTAAGCAGTTTACAGAGTCCTACAGACTCAACAGTCTGGGTCCTCATTTTACCCACCTCGGAAGGATGGAAGGCTGAGTCAACCTTGAGCCGGTCAGGATGGAGGGAATCAAACTCCTGGCAATGTGAGCAGAGTTAGCCTGCAATACTGCAATACTAAATAATGCAATACTGCATTTTAACCACTGCGCTACCACATATAATTCAACCTCTGCATAGGTCCTTCTAGGCATTTTCTCAGAAATCTTAAAATTAAGTCCAGCCTTTAGACAGATGACTTCTGGAATGTGGGAACTTTGTTATAGCCATGGCAAGCCCATATCAGTGAGCAAGGCTGTCAGTTATTTGTGATGTTCTCAGAACTTAAATGTGCCCACCGGCTTTGTTCTCTGCCTGCAATTGGTCTGTTGAGAAATGTAATACATTGTAAATTTGTATTGGGAAGGGAGGAGGAAGAAGGAAGGAAGGGAAGGGAAGGGAGGAAGGAAGGAAGGAAGGAAGGAAGGAAGGAAGGAAGGAAGGAAGGAAGGAAGGAAGGAAGGAAGGAAGTTACAAAGTAGGAGGGAGGGAGGAAGTTAAAAGGGAGGGAGGGAGGGAGGAAGGAAGGAAAAAAAATAGAACCCAAAATATATTGTAGGAGAATCCAGGAAATCAAATTCACTTAAATGGTCCCAAGATAATTAACTGCATCGACAAATTACGTACATTTATGCATTCAAGGAAGAATGCATGGTTCATATATTGTATACTATACAATGTATGAAAGGTATACTGCAAATAATATATTTTTCCAAACTGTGTGTATAAAAGATGTCAAAAATCTGTTATTTTTTTTTTCTTTGGGCAGGGATTTGCAAAAAACTAAAAACATCCTAATTTTTTTAACATCCTTTTAAACATCCTTTTTTTAAAAAAAGAAAAACCCATCAAAATCATTAGCTACAAAAGAAGTCTTCGAATCTGTCTGTTTCTACAAGCCACTCCCCTGAGAACAGGATAAATATCATACATTTTGCAAAACTAGCATTTGTCTTGTTACAGATGGAAAGTAAGAAAGAATGGATGTGAAGCATCAATAGCAGCTCCAACATAACTTTAATCAAACGCTCCCGCCCATGGTAGCTTGTAACCTTATATGTGTATTAATGTATGCTAAGGAAAAGAAAGTAGAAATTCTACTTCAAAAGATGTCTGGTTTAAAAGTCTATTGCTATTATTATTACTTTTTAATTTTATTTTTGTCTTGGCACAGCGTGCATTTGGCAAGAAGATTGCTACAGCTAGAGAAGCAAAATACATTGCTTGCAAGAGATTTGGAGCGCCAGAAGGAAGAAGTTGCTCGCATTTCACAAGAGGTATAATTGATGTGTGTGTGTGTGTGTGTGTGTGTGTGTGTATATACATACATACACACACACACACACACACACACACACACACACATACACGCATATACCATATTTTTTGGACTATAAGATGCTCCGGACTCTAAGACACACCTACCTTTTGGGGAGGAAAACAAGGGGAAAAAAAATCTGCCTCGGCCTCTCAGCATCCATCCAGTATTCATCTGGCCTGTTTGCCGCCTCCTATTCGGTGGCGGCGCTGCCCATTCGCTGCGGTCCGTTTGCCGCCAGCACCACCGCTCATTCACTGCGGCCAATTCACCGCCACCCATTTGCCGCTACCGCCACCCATTCAGCGCAGCCCATTCGCCGCTACCCGTTTGCCAACACCCGATTGCTGCCGCCACCACCCATTCAGCATGGCCCAACACCCTCCCCATCGCAATATTCGGAGTATAAGACACACAGACATTTCCACCCACTTTTTTTGAGGGGGAAGGAGTGCGTCTTATACTCTGAAAAATACGCTACATACACACACACACACACACACACACACGTGTTTGTGTGTGAATTATAAGCCTAATTATATGGATGAAAAGTGAGCAAGCTTGGTCTAGTGCAGGAGTGGGCAAATATGGCTTTTTTATAACCTGTGGACTTCAACTCCCAGAATTCCTGAGACAGCCAAGCTGGCTCAGGAATTCTGGGAGTTGAAGTCCACAGGTTGTAAAAGAGCCACATTTGCCCACCCCTGTTCTAATGGTTAAGGAACCAGGTTAGAAAGCAGGAGGCTGTGGGTTCAAGTCCCTTCTTAGCCATAGAAGCCAGCTGAGTGACTTTGGGCCAGTCATTCTCTCTCAGCCCAACCTGCCTCACAGGTTTCTTCTTGTGAGGAAAATAGTAGGAAGAAGGTGTGTTTTATATGTTCGCCGTCTTGAGTTATTTGTAAAATAATATGTACGTGTGTGTGTGGGGACAATTGTGGACAATACTCCCGTGCTAATCCTTTTCAGCGCAGTACGTGTTGCTCTAATAGCAGAGATGAAAAGACAGATTATTCTGCAGACTAAACAAAACAGAGACTAGACAGATAAGCCTCTCTTCTCTCAATAGGGAAAAACTAGCAAAACGGGTTTAGTTTTCTTCAAGTTTTTTTTTTTTATGCAATACCTATTTATATATTTATTTAATATATCTCTGCCCATCTCAGACAATATAACCTTGGGCACCTACCAACAATAACACACATACACACACACACAAAATAAAACAACCTCTCTCCACTCCTGGATTAAAGCCATCACACACACAACCTTGGGCCACACCTCCCATGCCATTCCAACTCATTTGTTTGTTTTTTTCTGACGGGCTCTACCTTCCAACTCAATTAGGATCTGGGCTAGTTCTCAGAAGGTCCATCCAGAGGCCACTGGCAAGTTGGTCCATCCAGAGGCCTTCATCGTTGTCTTCTGACATGCTCCTCAGTCGTGGATATTTGAAAATGGAGGTGATCCATAGCCGAGGAGGTTCACCATTTTTAGTTCCAGGGAGAACAAGAGAGCAGAGAACCATTTGGCCATTCCTATTCCTGACCAGAGGGAGGCGGTGGCTCAGCGGCTAAGACGCTGAGCTTGTCGATCGAAAAGTCGGCAGTTCAGCTGTTTGAATCCCTAGTGCCACCTAACGGGGTGAGCTCCCGTTACTTGTCCATGCTTCTGCCAACCAAGCAGTTCGAAAGTACGTAAAAAAAATACAAATAGAAAAATAGGAACCATCTTTGGTGGGAAGGTAACAGCGTTCCGTGCGCCTTTGGCGTTGAGTCATGCCGGCCACATGACCACGGAGACGTCTTCGGGCAGTGCTGGCTCTTTGGCTTTGAAACGGAGATGAGCACCGCCCCCTAGAACCGGAAACGACCAGCATATATGTGCAAGGGAAACCTTTACCTTTGCCTTTAGTCCTGACCTCTCCCTACATACAGCGCTGGCTAAAGCAATCCCAACTTGAGTTTTCCAAGATAAATCTTGATTATATCCCTTTAGAGATACAGAGAAAGAATCCAGGTCAGCCCCTGGCCAGTGTGAACAGATTTTCAGAAAGTTATGAAGGAAGGCCCCCCCCCCCCGACTCTTTGTGAACTATCAGAAGACATTGTCCTCTGCTGCCCTCTAAACAGTAAAAGTATAACATTTGCCCTGGGCTCTTTGCTCTGGAAAGAATACAGTTCAACAGAACAGCCTCTCTCTCTCTCTCTCTCTCCCCCCTCTCTCTCTTTCCCTCCCTCCCTCCCTCTCTCTCCCCCTCCCTCTCCCTTTCTCTCTCCCTTTCTCTCTCTCTCCCTCTCCCTTTCTTTCTCTCTCCCTTTCTCTCTCCCTCTCTCTCCCCTCCTCCCTCTCTCTCCCTTCCCTTTCTCTCTCCCTCTCTCTCCCCTCCTCTCTCTCTCTCCCTCTTCTCCCTTTCTCTCTCCCTCTCTCTCCCCTCCTCTCTCTCTCTCCCTCTCTCTCAGTAGGGCTTGGGTTTAAAAATTCTGGGTCGGGGATCACTTGCCCCAAATATGCCTCTCCTCACGATTTCTTTGAAGCCATGTGATATAGGCATAATTTTGAAATCCTGCTGCCCTGCGAATAAACTGGGGGAAATAAACCCAGACATTTTACAACCCTTTGTAAATAATATAGAGAAGGGGGTGCTTAGTTCCATCTTTTTTCAAGTAATCTTTATATGCGCTATCAGGATTACATTGTGGGAAAGAGAAAGAGACAAAACAAACGTGTAAGGAGCTTCCTTTCGTGATTTCAATGTACCTCTTTTTTTTTTTCTTTTCTTTTCTTTCAGCGAGATAAAGCAAATTCTCTGTTGAACCAAGTGCAGCAGCCCTACAAGTACCTCATTGAGTCTGTGCAGCAAAGAGATTCCCAGATCCTTGCACAGAAAGAACGGATTGCTCAGCATGAAAAGGACATCAGGTAAAGACTCCAAAATTGGCGTTGACTTTCCCTTGGCAACTAGAATTTAGCACCCTGTAGAGACGAGCAGGTAAAACACTGAGTCAGCCATGGAGGCACCAGGCTAACTTTTCTGAGAATGGGGACTTTGGTCCATCAAACGTTGAGGGCTGCTCCTGCTAATTTCATAGCCATAGCTATTTGGACTTTTTTCTCTTAATGGTGTAGAAGTCATTGCCTTCTTAACAGCAATGTTCCAATATTTAAGGGGCTGCCAGAGAAAAGAGAGGGTTGACTTATTCACCAAAGCACCTGAAGGCTGAAAAAGAAGCAACGGATAGAAACTAATAAAGAAATAAAGAGAAATTTCCTGACAGTTGGAACAATTAACCAGTAGAACAGCTTACCTTCAGAAGTCATGGGTGCTCCAACAATGGAGGTTTTTAAGAAGAGATTGGACAACCATTTGTCTGAAATGGAATTGGGTCTCCTGCTTGAGTCGAGGGTTGGACTACAAGACCTCCAAGTTCCCTTCCAACTCTCTTATTCTTCTAAGTTATCTTTTAGACCCCCTGGTCTAATCGTCAGCCTTTGTGTAGCCAGTAAATCTCTTTCGATTACTTAATTAACATGGTTCTCCTGTCCCACTTATGTGGCTTAGCTTAAACTTTGCTAATCGTTTGTCTGATCTCTTTCTCCAATAAGACTTTCCTTTTGCCATTGTAGATAATTCCATCCTGTTATCTTAGGTGTCAGAAGGGGAGGCCTAAGTGTCTCTTTGATTCCATCAAGTTCTGTTCCTATAGCTGCCTAGAAGGTTGAATAGGCTGCTGATTGAGGTGCCAGAGTTCCCTAATTTTCAATTCAGAACAAGTGTCCAGAAGTAGGTTATTGTTGTTTTATTAATCTTGCTCACCTGATTTTTGACTTAGCTATCACTGTCTGGCTGCTTTCCCATTATAACTTCTGAGATTTGAAGACAGGAGAAAACTCCCTGTGTTATGAACCATCCTTCCAGTTTTGAAATGTAGGGTCACCTCTTATTTTAGTGTCAGCCTTTATTCTTCATTAAACATGGAGGATTTCTGATGTCCTCAGAAGTCTCCTAAAGCCTCGGAAATCAAATCAGGGTTTTCAAAGCCTCGGAATTCAAATCAGGAATCCTATTCAGGGTTTTTTGCCATTATTATTATTATTATTATTATTATTATTATTATTATTATTATTATTAATTGAATTTCTCTACCGCCCTTCTCCCGAAGGACTCAGGGCGGTGGACAGAATAAGATTTCATATACATATATTTTTTATTTTTTTTTATTTATTTTTTTTATAAACAGTAAATAATAAATTGAGTCTTTGAATTGGAAGGGCCAGAAGCATGCATGGAATAGGGCCATGATTGAAATGCAGCCTACTTGGTCTTCATAAAGTCAAATTTAAAATCATTGGCTCAACTGATTCTCCTCCCTCACTTGGAAAACATGACAGGGCCTGAACTATTAAAGCCAATGGATCGAACACATACAAAATCTTTGTCATTTGGTTTGTCTTTGCTTTGGGTGCTGCTATCTATATCAGGGGTGTCAAACTCAAGGCCCGTGGGCTGGATCGGGCCCACAGGGTGCTTAGATCTGGCCTGCGTGGCCGCCCTGGAAACAGCAACGGACCGGCCTGCGGTGCCTCTGCCAGCGAAAATGGAGCTCGGGAGGGCCACGCGCGGCCCTCCCAGGTTCTGTTTTCAGATGCGACAGCCTGCAGCCCTCTGCCAGAGAAAATGGAGTGTGGTGTCCCTGAGCTCCGTTTTCGCTGGCAGAGGGCTGAAGGAGATCATCACGGCCGAAAATGGAACCTGGATTGACCTAAAACTGGCCACGCCCACCCCAACCATGCCCACCCCGGCCATGCCCCCCGGCCCCCTGAGGTCAAACACAACCCAGATGCGGCCCTCAATGAAATCAACTTTGACACCCCTGATCTATACGGATGGTAGCCCAAAGAAAACAGTCAAGTTTTCCTTTTCAAAAAGGATCTACGTGTGCTTAATTCTGAGCAATTTATGTTATAACTCGCATTGCAGCTAGAAATGTACTACTACATTTCCTAAGTCATTTTCTTTCTGCCCACCAGTCAGTTAAATGAAGAGAAGAAGGCTTTGCTGAGGGTCAAGAACCAAATGGCGGCAGATTTGGAAAGACTTCTAAATCACCGTGAGGTAATTGTCTTGTTTTACCCCAGTTGTTACTGTATGGTGTTTCCCTCTCACCAACCTCTTTGTGCTAGTCGTCATATGTTTTGTTTTCAGCTTTGTAGCTTTTCGAAAATAATTTTTAAAGTGCCTAGGAGAACTCTTCTTCCACATCTAAGAGCCATGGTGACACAATGGTTAGAATGCAGTATTGCAGGCTGACTTTGCCCACTGCCAGGAGTTCGATCGTGACCAGATCAAGGTTGACTCAGCCTTGTATCCTTCCAACCTTGGTAAAATCAGAACCCAGATTGTTGGGGGCAATAGGCTGACTCTGTAAACCGCTTAGAGAGTGCAATTTAAAGCTCCATGAAGCGGTATATAAGTCTTATTGCTATCTTTCCTATCCCAAATGGCCACTGTTAACTTTTACCCCAACCTTCCCCTCCACTGTAAACTCTCTCAGTGCATCTCATTGCCACCAGCCTTCCACCAGCTTCAGCCCCTTCTTAATCCCAGCACCATCCCATGACCAGGGTGCCACTTGAGGTCACCAGTCTCCATGGATAGTGCTCCTTCCCACCCCTGCATGTCCAGACAGAACCCAAGGGTCTTGGATGAGGAGCAGAAGGAGCAAAGAGCAGGGGAGCCTTAGCTCGTGGGACATCACTTGCTGTTCTGCCCCGGCTACGGATCCCAAGGAATGTAGCACATACAAACTATGAACAAAGCTCAATTTGCTTCCAAACGTAGTTTTCTACAAATGCAGGCTGTTAATTAAAACGTCCTTAACAACCTGCCAGAAAGTCCACAGATAAGATAAAGTCTTACGAGAGTTGGCAGAAAGCCCAGAAGCAACGTTTGCAAAGACAATCCACATTCAATGACCAGCGAGCGAATATGCGTTGTTTCCTGCAACGTTTACAAGCTGTGTGCAAACTTAAATAGGCTAAGGGAGTGGCCAATTAGCCCCAAGCCTTACTCTCGAGGAGACCTCCTGAGTAACCACTCCTGCCTTTTGGCAGCTCTGAATGTTTGTGCATTGAGAAGAGGCTCCTCCACTTCATCCTCTTCACTTGAAGGAGCCTCTGGAGGTTCTCAAGGCCCTGGCTGAATCTCTGCCTCTGGCACCACATCTTCTTCAGCTTCCTTACTGTCTGACTCGAGCGCCAGTTGCACAGGCTGCTGGCGCGACACCACACCAGCCTCCTCGATGTCTGGATCAGCAACAATCCACGCAGGCCGCTGGTGGGCCACAACACTTGCTTCCTTTTCCAAATGTCACCACCTGGAGGTTCTCCAAGTAGGGAAAAGGCTTCTCCTCAGGTTTTTGGTTTTTTTTACTTTTAAAAGCATTTTTTTCTACAACCTTAAGAGGTTGCAAAAAAAAATGCTTTTAAAAGCCTTTGACAATCAGGCAACTCAGCTGGGATCGTCAGAGGCTTTTAAAAGAATTTTTTTCTACAACCTCTTCGGCCAAAGAGGTTGTAGAAAAAATGCTTTTACAAGTAAAAAAAAAGCATCTGATGATCGCGCGGCTCAGTTGGGCATGGGGGGGGCAGGGATTTTTGCTACTGGTTCTCCGAACCACCCGCCGCCATCGCTACCGGATCAGGCAATCTGGTCCGAACCGGGAGCATTTCACTCCTGCATAAAAGTCAGACTGCAATTGAAGTTAATAGATAGCCGTGTTGCAATATCTGAGGGGCTGCCACAAAGAAGAGGGGGTCAACCTATTGTCCAAAGCACCAGAAGGCAAGTCAAGAAACAATGGATGGAAATTAATCAAGGAAAAAAGCAACCTAGAACTAAGGAGAAATTTCCTGACGGTGAGAACAATTAACCAGTGGACCGGATGGCCTTCAGAAATTATGGGTGCTTCATCACCGGAGGTTTTTAAGAAGAAATTTGACAACCATTTGTCCGAAATTGCATAGAGCAGTGATGGTGAACCTTTTAGCCACTGAGTGCCCAAACTGTGCATGGGCGCATGCCCAAACTGAAAGGTGCGTGCTCATGCACAGACATTCGTGCATACACAGCAGAGTCCCGAAGATCAGCTGGTCGGCGGGAAGCGGGGCATCCAACACCGGCAGTGTGTCAAGAGGTAAGATCTTTTTCTTTCGTGAGCTTCTGTTTCCCTGCAAACGATGAAAGAGAAGCTCACGAAAGAAATGCCACCGAGATCTGACCTGGGGCGACAATGCGCATGCCAACAGAGAGGACTCTGCGTGCCACCTCTGGCACACGTGCCATAGGTTCACCATCACGGCTATAGTGTCTCCTCCTTAAATGGACTAGAAGTCCTCCAAGATCTTTCCCAACTCTGTTATTCTGTGTGTTCCGTGTGATGGGGCTGAATTTTATTGATACCAGTTAGGTTGTGAATTTTTAATTTAACCTTTAAATATGCTTTTTTTTTTTTTATTGCTATATGTACCGGAAAAGCTAAAACTTAAAAAAAAAAAAAAAAAGATGTATGTCGGTTCATGGATTTTTCAAAGGAATTAAGACACTCCAGATTTGCGCGCTGCATGGCTGAACCCTTGAGCTGCCAAAAGCCAACCTTTTTAAACTTTTTACGTTGACGCCCTGTCATAATCGCAAAACAAACAAAAGCAACCCCAATAAATTGGAACTGATTTGGGTCAACTTGACCTTCAATCCCAGATGTGTGCTCCATGACACAGGAGGAGCAAAGTGGCAGGTCATGCTTCTGATATAATTTACATTGACGGATGAGGGAACTGTGCATGATAGATCTTGCCCCTACATCTTTCATTGGGTTGCCTTGGCTGCTGCAGAAGTTCAGATCTGATAGTCTTTCCCCTGTGTCCCTTCCATCTCCCTGGGGGTTTGTGTTTTACTTTGCCAGCCTCAAGGGAGGAAATTTCAGGCTTTCGTAGAGCTCTTTCTTCTCCTTCAGGAGATGATGATTGCAGCAGCCCAGAAAGATGGAGAAGTAATAACTACTAAACCAGGGATCAGCAACCTGTGGCTCTGGAGCCGCATATGGCTTTCACCCCTCTGCTGCAGCTCCCTGTCACTCAAAATATGCATCACAACTGCCAATGTGCGACACCCGCCGGCACACGATTTATTGAGCTTTTCAACCCCCGGTAGGCCAACCATGGATAAATCCAAGAAAAGAAAAGTTTCAGAAGAAAACAGAATGTTAAATTCAACTACATAAGAAATAGTCAGGCACAGGAAGGGTTTTGTGGCTCCCGGTGTTTTCTTTTCTGTGGGAAACGGGTCCAAATGGCTCTTTGAATGTTTAAGGTTGCGGACCTCTGTACTAGACCAAGAGAATCTCTGGAGGGCTTCAGAGTGGGAGACAGGTCGGATCTAAGAGCTAGGAAAGCAGGAGAAACTTTTGGGAAAATTCCAGGATGGACAGTCTTGGTTTTATTGACAACTATCACCACCACCTCCCAAAAAAAATCTGGGGTAGTTGAGATTCCCTGGGGGCAGACTAGCTCAAGAGTTGGAACAGCAAAAACAATGTGCGGTGCGGATAAACACGTCTTTGCACAAAAAATACAAATTCAACCATCTTTTAAAGCTTTATCTTCTGACTCTGACTCTAAACCCTTGGCTGCCTTCTGCCCATAAGAGCAGTTCCATTGTTAAACTCACCTGGCTATGCAGGAAATCATCCCTTGGCCCCAGTGACTTGGCAGATTCCTTCTACTTTGTTTGCCCAGAACGGATTACAATTCAGTTTAAATACATCTACATATGAAATGCAAGAGATCTGTCTGTCTGTCTGCCTTCCATAACTTATCCGGGCAAATATTTCCTTTTCATTAAGCTCTTCCCTGTATTCTCCTTCTAGATGTTAAAGGAAGATGTTACGGCTTCTTCCTGCCAGCTTTTCCAAAGGCTAAATAATCTGCATAAACATTTCTCTTCTTCTTCTTAATCTTATCCCACTTTGTCTGAATCTTTCTTAAACTGCAGTGACCAGAACCGATAACAGACTACATATAAAGTCAGACCAGTACAAAACAAGTTGGCATCGTGGTTTTTCTTGTTTTGGAACATGGATGCCTCCAGAAATATGCTTGCCTTTTTTGTCTCTTCAGTGCAGTGGTGGGTTTCAAAAATTTTTACTACTGGTTCTGTGGGTATGGCTTGGGCATGGCATGGCTTGGTGGCAGGGGAAGGATACTGTAAAATCTCCATTCCCACCCCACTCCAGGGGAAGGATACTGTAAAATCTCCATTCTGTCCCCAATCCAGGGGAAGGTTACTGCAAAATCCCTATTTCCTCCCGATCAACTGGGACTCGGGAGGCAGAGAATAGATAGGGGTGGGGCCAGTCAGAATTTTTACTACTGGTTCTCCGAACTACTCAAAATTTCTGCTACCGGTTCTCCAGAACTGGTCAGAACCTGCTGAAACCCACCTCTGCTTCAGTCATCAGTGACTGTTCCACAAACTTTTTCACAAGTGCTCTTGCCTTTCGGTCAGGCATCGAAAGTCCTTTCCTTAAATTCTGTGTATATCATCTTGCGTTGATCTCTTTTAAATTTCGTTCTCTTCTTCTCATTCCAATTTCTCCATTTTTCTCAAGATCATTTTGACTTTTTATTTCTGTCTTCTGTTCGCTCTTCTGTGCCATATTCATCAGTCATCTGCAGATTGGATAAGCATTCTCTCTACTTCCTCATGCAAGTTATGAATGCAAATCATGGAGAGAATTTAACCTTGCAGCACCCAACATATTAATTTATTCCTGCCGAGTAAGACTTCATTGAGAAATGTGATCTGAGTACAATCTTCAGTGCAGTTGGGTCTTAACTGCTAATCAGAGTATCATTGCATGCCATATAAATGCTTCTTTGAAATTATTTTTTTAAAAAAAACATTTTCAGCGTTTTTATATTTTTATATTTCCAGAAGTCAGTCAGCCAATCGGAAAAAGAGAAAAGATTAAATTTCTGAAAAATCCATGTTGTGTTCAGGGTACTTGGATATCAATAGCTTTCTGATCTACTCTATCCATCCATGATGGATGGATG